AACGAGGGGTACCTGTATCATAGCCAAAGAGCAAACCACCGATGCCAGCAACAATAGTCAATCTTACAACATAAGAATTACTGAAATATGACATTCTCCTCTCTGGAAACAAGTCCAGATACCCAGAACTACCAGGTATTGACTCGAGCGTCATTCTGTTCTCACTTACTGCACGCCTTGAATCTCGCTTAACACTTGTAGTAGATATAAGTTGAACTAGAGATTTCTAAGTTGATTCTTCTTCAATACCCAAGAATTGTTTCTCCAAACAATTCAGTAGCAAAATCCAAATTTGTTTTCCCGAGTCTATTGGAAGAAGAAAATGATTCAGGCTTTTCTTTTTCTTTTTTCCTTTTTCTTCTCAAAATATAAATATAAAACGCATCATAAAGGCAAACCCAGAAACCAAATCTTTGCAATTAAGAGGTCGAAAATAAGTTTTTTATTTTTTCCGTAAAAAATGGGAATCTATGAACATTTTGTAAGAGAATTAGGCAAAAAAAAAGTTTTTTCTTTCTTTGTTTTTTTCGTCTGTGCTTCAATCTAACAGAAAATGGCGAAAACGGTCAGTGAGTGGGCCAGGGGTTATGGCTTTTAACACCAGAAATGATAAAGTATTATTTTTAAAAATATTAATTTTATTTAATTTAATTGATAAAAATAATAAATAACATTATTATTTTTTTTTACCAGCGAAAAATTTGGAGATGAGGAGCAATTAGAAAGGTTGTTGGATTGACAGTTTGAACATAACAAAAAAAAGCTGAGTGCATTGATGTACTCTCGTCGCGATTAAAGTTGCAAGTGCTAAATAATAATATTATTAATTATTAATTATTAATAAATTAATATTTTATTTTGAAATAATAAATTAAAATATATAATTAAATAAATTAATATTATTTAAAAATAAATTAAAAATTAATAAATTTAATTATTACAGCATATTTTTTTATTATTTTTTTATATTTAAAAATCACTTCAAGTTAATTGAGAATTAAGTTTAATACTTATTTTTTTCATAAAAATCAAATTAAAAATTTTATTTATAAAATTAAATTATTTTTATTTTAACCAATAAATCGTTACTATGTCCACCCTCATATAAGTGGTGGGAGACAGACCTCTGAAGGTCGGAATCATTCTTGTCAAAATCGCATTATAAATAGTAAAATTATTTTATTTTACGATTTTAAATATACATTTAGAATAAAATCTATGTTTAAATCAAATTTTCAGGAGTAAAATCGTAAAATCTCGATTTTACCGTAAACTCGTAAAATCTCGATTTTACTTTCACAAAGATCGAAGAAGACGGTTCCAGAAATTTAGACATAAAATTTGATCCCTGAACTTCCTTACTTTAGGTTTGCTGCAGGGGAGGGAGAGATTGGACTGCTCACTGTTGCTGCTCACGCCGCTGCTCGCTGCTCACTGCTCAAGCAAAGAAGTTGCTGGCTGGACGGAAATCTATTTGGTAAGTGGTGACCCAAATCATCTGGAGCCAGCCTTACACAGTAGGAGTTGGTTGCTGCTCCTCACTACTCAAGCAAAGAAGGATAAAATCTGTTGCAAAAAAGAAAAGGCACAGATGTCGATCAAGGGGATTCTTAAAGAAACTGGGTTTTCTAAATTTTGCAACTGTGGAGAATTAAAATTGAAATGAAGGGATTAAGAAGAGAGAGTATGAGGAAAGAAAGATGCAGTAGGGTGATGACGATGATGAAGATGAAGTTTACGAAGAAGAATTTGATGATGATGAGCAGTAACGACTGTTGAAATCAAAAATCTGGATTTGTGGTTGTCCTTCTTAACCACTTGTGTCTTTAATCCTGGTTTCTAATCCATGGTTAGTCCTTTGACCCAATTTGAGTTAAGATGTTTTGTAATAAATATACCGAGCCCACTGTTTGAAACTTTTAAAATAACCCAATTAAGAATTGACCCTTACTATCAT